TTTAAAATTAACTAATAGTCCCTAATTAGACACAAAATAATATAATCTTATAATTTATCACAGAATTATTACTATATTTTTATGATTCGTACCAAACAAACCCTTAGTTATAGGTAATGGGGTTGGTGGCCCTGCGATTTTATACTCCCTCTATAAAGAAAGAGTCGCCCAATGTTATAGGAAGCTCCATCTCTCCCTCTCAAGATCTTCTGATGAGAGGAGAAAGAGGCTGAAATTGGCTCAAAATTTGTGTCCTCATCTCCCCTATCCAATTTCTTCCTGCTGTGTGTGTGTGTGCGCAAAAGTTGTGTCTTTGCTTGCGTGGATGATCTTTAGACTAGTGTAAGATCTACTGGCCACCAAATTTCTAAATCACCCACATCCCCATTATTGTCGTTTGTTGAATTTCCCTCATGTGGCTCTAATTCACTTCAAGATTTTTACTCATCAGGTACACATGTTTGTGGACTTAAAAGTATCAGTCCATCCAGATACCATAAGAATCTTTTATTAGCATAAAAAGCGTGTAACTTTGTTAAAAATGTGGAGAAAGACTCCACCTTTAGAAGTTGATGTGCCTGAAAATGGACATTGAGTGATACCATTTGGTATTTTTTATAATAACTTTCTTCTTTTATATCAAACCCCTTTTGCTTATTCTTTTCCAATGTTCCTTTCTGGGATTTGTTCCTCCATGTCATATCTTGATGTGTATAATTGCTCTCTCTGTGTAATGACTGATACATTTATTCTTATGTAGATTTCAGGTTGCAACCCCTAGGTCTTGATATAAGTTTGGAATTCATTTGGTTGACTTGGTGGACATCATCCTGTATAAAGAGGAACCAGCCAGGGTAAGGCTTATTCTTTACCAGAAGAATCTTTTATTAGCATAAAGCGTATAATTTTGTTAAGAAGTGGAGAAATTATCCTCCTTCAGAAAACTAAAAGTTGATGTGCTGAAAAATGGGCATGGAGTGATACCCGTTTGGTATTTTTCATTTTTCTTCTATTTCATTCTTTCAGATCAAAAAGTCTGTAGCTTTAGAAGTTGATGTGCTGAAAATGGACATTGACTGGTAGCCATTTGGTATTTTGATATCAGAATCAATCTAGACGCCTTTATTTCTACGTTGGATTTGTTTCTCCATGTCATATCTTGATGGGCACATTGACTCTGTTTGAGTAATTGGCTGTTACATTGCTCATCTGTTGATTTCAGATTGCAGCAAGATCTTGATAAGTTGGGGATCCGTTTGATTGGATATTTATCTTGTATAAAGAGAAATCGGCCAGGTTAAGGCTTATTCTTTGATCAGAATTGTCGTTCTTGTTTTAGTCTTTCTCTAAACGCCGATATGAATTTATTTTAATATGCTATGGTTGTGCGAATTGGATGCTCGTGGCTTAGGACTGCATTTGAACTTTGAGGTGTTTGATGGATTATAGGGTGGTGGATTTGTTTATAGTTAACAAAAAGGAAAAAGAAAAAGAAAAAGGATCGGTTTTCCACTATTTGAGTATGTATTATTGTGCATCTACATTCCATAATTACGCTTTAGTTTCTTGATAAAGCTATTGAGTGTTGGTGGTATTGGGTCTTATTCATGGCAGTGGTTTTATGTTTTGAATATCTATCGAATTTGACTATAGACAGTACACTAGAGGGAATTGCTTCCCTGTGGCTACTTTTCAGCAGCTTTGAAATCTGAGGCATATGTGAATAACATAATAGTTAATTTAGGACACGCTGTCTGGCTCTGTTATAATTGATTGCTGGAATTTGCTTTCCCGTGTGCAAAAAGGGGCACCCTTCAGTTAATGGAGCGTCATTCATCTTGATGGACACTGGGGCTATTATAAGTTGTAAGGAAGGTCTGGAATGCTCTCCAAAAGCTCTTTGCTTGGATTTTTGCGCAAAGTTTGAGTTAACATGAGGGGAACAATATTAGACAAATTCAATTTTTAATTAAGTTCAAAATGACAAGAAGTCTCTTGAATATCTTCTTCATGGTTTTTTCCTTCCTTAAAACTAATTTGTTCCTCGGAGTCAGCTTTCAGCTTGAACTTTTAACAAATAGAATTGGATAGTTTAATTCTGTCAAGGTCTTCAGTTAGTTTTCAGAATTTCTGCTGCTATTTGAAGAAGTGTATTTATCACCACCATTGGATTTCCTTTTTTAAACTCTTATCGTACATGTCTTGGTTCCTTACATTTCAATATGTTCGTCAAGGAGAAGAAAAGTCGAGAATCAAAAGAAGAGATTCATAGGACTGATATATTGATATTCCCTCCCTTTGTTGCGTATAACTTTCTCTCAATTCATTTGAACAGAGCCTAAAAAAATTTTATATGTGGGACTTGATATGCACATTGGAAATCATAGGATTACAGGACTCAAAGGGAAAGACCAAGATTCCATAATCCGAGGAGATTTTTTGTAATTACTTTTAAAAATCAGTTTTCTAAGGTGTCAGCAAACACCACTACTCCAAATTGGGTTGCACTCTTTTTCCCCTTTAAATGGAAATTGAGTGGGAGGGTCTAATAACACTTTCCCAACAATGTTTACCCAAGAGTAGACCATATTCATTGCTTTCTTGTTACCAGTGATTTGAAAAAGCCACAGGATCTCTACTTGCTAGAGAAGCCTCTTTGAGAGCCACAATATTCGCAGTTGGAGTTCCAATGGATGGATTTTCAAGTCCAAAACTAATGCCTGTAGTCCTTCCATATTATGAATAAGCAAAACAGTGACGGGATAGTACCGGAGTTCTAACTTGCTGTCTCACTCTTTCTTTTTGTCAGGCATCGTGTGTAGATAATTTGTAGGCAGAAGCAGTTTGATCACTTTGGTTCTAAAGTAGCTGACTGTCATAGGACACCAATGTTAAAATTATCTAGAAAAGTCAAATTGGCATGCAAACTTTTGATCTGTTCTTTTGTTGTCATCTGACATATGAGTTTCTTTGGAGGTCTAAAATTGTGAATGATTTTGTTTAGAAGAAACTATGATGCTGGATTCTTTTTGGTGCTATGTAAGGGGGCAATAGCTCCACAAATACTCAAGCTAGACTTTGTATTACATCAAGGATACCTAGTGTTTTTTTTTTTTTTTGGGTAATAAACTGTGAATATATTACCATAACCGACAAATGATGAGTACAAAGCTAATGCCAAATTTCAAAACATACAAAATTTACTAATCTAATACGTATTTACTATGATTTGTATCCAATCCTTACATCTTCTTGCTTTCCTTGTATTTTCTATTCCTTCCAATCTTGTCTTGATTTCCTTCATAATCTGCACTGCAACATACCTTGAAGTCACTGCATTTTGTCTGAAAATTCTCCCATTTCTTGCTTCCCATGTATGGTAAATAATTGCTCCCCAAACTGCTGCAACTACTTCTTTTTTTCCCTGTTTCCAGTGCCTTCTTCTTAACCATTCTACACAATTTCTGGCATTCAAACTAGGCAGAGAAATACCCAACCTCATCTTTTAGCACAAGTCTTGAGCTTGACTTTGATAATATACTCTTTCAATCCTCATCTTTCCCAGTAAATTGTTCTTTTTCTACAATTGAGAATTGTAAACAGTCACTGCAATAGCTAATAACATTACATTTAGACTGAGAAATCTTTTTCCCTTTTGTTTTTGTGTTCCAGATTTGCCAAATGGGTGATATAGCCAAGGATTTAACAGCTGGGACTGTAGGTGGAGCAGCACAATTGATCGTTGGTCACCCTTTTGATACTATAAAGGTCAAGCTTCAAAGCCAGCCTACTCCACTTCCAGGGCAGCCTCCAAGATATTCTGGTGCTATAGATGCTGTCCGGCAAACAGTAGCTGCGGAAGGTGCCAGGGGGCTGTTCAAAGGCATGGGAGCCC